CGAGACGTCCCCAAGGCGGCATCCCCAGCTTCTGATGGGTGCCAGGTGACGACAGCGCCTTCCTTAAGGGGGCAACGGGAGCGAAAGGGACACCAGGAGCCCGCCCTAGAGGAGCCCAGCCGAGACAGCCGTGTCTTCTCCTTTTCCCTCCTCACAGAGTGGCGATGTGCAGCAAAGCGCTGGTAGCCCTCCTGGTTTATGGGATACTCATGCACTGCAGCGTCTACTGCTCGCCTGCTGCCGGACTTCAGTTCCCCGCTCTAAGGTAAGTGCCCTGGCTTGCCCTCGGCTCGGGAGCCCGGCTAGAAGCCTAGGCAGGTCTCAGCGAGCGGAGGTTTCCCTTCCTTCCCCTCGCCTGGCCGCTGGGGCGGTTCGAACGAGATTCAGCTCTAGCAGAAGGCAACTTGGCCTTCTTCCCTGGAGAAGGAGGGCAGGCTGCCAAGGGAAGCCCCCCTTCGTTCACTATGGGGCAGCACAGGGTTCGAGAACGAAGTGAATGTGTTGATTATGATTACGATTGGGGTGTGTGTGTGTGTGTTTGAGAAAGAGAGAGAGAATGAGTATGGATGTGAATGAAAGAGCGGGCGCGTTTGTGTGCGCGCGCAGTGCCCAGTCTTTATGATTTAATCACACCCGCCTCTACTTTCTCCAGTACCATAGTTCTGATCTTGGAGTCCCTATTTGGTTGCTGTTCATAGGGCATGAGTCCCATCATTTCGTAGTGCTAGGTCTGAAGGATAAGCCTAATTGGAAAGCCGATGCCTGGCATTGTAGGCTGTCCCCTGAGGTCCGTGTTGCAGAGCGTCACTCCCAAAGAATAGATGTAGGATCGAAGTGCGTGGCACTTGTTTGTGAGAATCTTCTTTCGGCCGTGGTTGAGACTGATCTAAAGAGTTTCTCTCCAGAGGATGAAAGTGTGACAGGCGATCAGGTAGATGCAGATTATTATGTAGACCGGTTTATTCCTAACCATGTTTCCTTAGATGCAAATTCCATTGATTTCAGCTTCCTTCCAAGTATGTGTAGGTGCAGTCCTGGCATTCCTAAATCTTATTATGTTCAAAGAAGTGTCCTTTTGGATCAAGTGCGCACATGATTCGTTCACAACGAACGAGTGTCTAGGTCCTTCGGGCTAGGATGTATGTACACACACACAAATCTATATGCTCTTGATTAGAAACTGAGCTGCCTATGACGTGCTGCGTTTGCTTAGCAGTTTATTAAAAGCTGTAAGGAAGGCAGAGGAAGGCATTTTGGTCTGTAACTAAAACACGGCGGGTTTTACTACGTTCCTGACAGGCTGAATCACAGGTACGAAATGATCTAAAACGTAGTACAGAACTTAATACAGAACTTTCTGTCAGACAGATGAGCGATTATATCTGTACTGGATAAACGACTAATTCGGATTAAGCTCTTTAGAATCACTGTACGCAAGAGGAAGAATACATTCACCTTTCTCTAGTGCCCTCTGCTGAACAATCGCACTCAGAATTAAGGCACTTTTCTGCTTAAATCTAGCAAATTTGGTTTCCCTTAATGGTGGCCCAGACCTAAGTCAACCACAGCATGTACACCTGAAACGTGTAGGGTTAAAGACTGTCCCAAATGGTAGGATTCGATTGGTTGGTCTCAACCTTCCATCCATTCATGGTCAGTAAACTGAGTACCCAGCTTGCGAGGGGGGCAAAGTGTAGCCTGAAAAATTCCAATTGTAAACCGCCCAGAGAGTGTTTTAAGCGCTGTGGGGCGGTATAGAAGCATCACGTTTTGCTTTAGCTTTTGGTCTGGTTTGTCATTTGAGTATTAATAGTTTCCTTGCAAGATTTTAAACCTTGTTTAGCCCGGATCTTTAAAAGGTCCGCGATCCCCACGAAGTTCCAAACAGGGATAGATTATCCCGCGAAAGTTTGTCCTTCGGAAAGAAAACGTGGCATGGTGATTGTGATCATCATCATTCTTTATTACGGGCACAGACCAGCAAGCACGGAGATTGCTAGTTAGATCTCTGCCATAATTAACAGCCTTTCAACCACATTCTTTTATCCAAGGATTTACTTCTGGAATACCAGTCCGGAGGAATCCAGTGGGTTTGTTTCTAAAAGGCGGAAATGCATTGATTATGAACTTTAAACTCCATGGAAATGAAGTCTGCTAGGTTTAATCTACTTTCTCACGTTAGAATCCTAAAGGTGTTTGTTTGGCGCCAAGCTCCAGTTAATTAGACAGGTAAACAAATTGGACTGATTTCCAAGGCAATGTGCATAAATAGAACTATAAGCCATGGATTAGAGAGAACAGCAATTGAAATGACAGGATTGGAGGAGCAGTTTTCCAACCCAAAACATGTCCCTTTTATTGGTGGCAATGTTGTGCGGTCATACAGTTTGTTCAGTAGCAGAATATGGTTACTTTTTTGTTTTAGATGTAGAGAAAAGAGAACCTAAACGTTCCTCTGGTGTAACCACAGCCACGCATTCAGGAAAGCATGATCCTAATTGTGCCTGGTTGTGCCACCTCCTTTCAAATAATCTATGTTCTTAAAATATATGGTGAGGACAGCTCTCTTATATGACTTTTTAGAAGGAGCAGACTAATGGGTGGAGGAGAGCAAGCTGATCTGATTCGCTTGTGAACTTCCCGGATGCTCGGAGTGCAGAGAATTGGGGGTAGATGAAGTATACAAGAGGGGGCCTCGGTCTAAGCAAGCAACTTGGAAAAAACGTGTGCATTTACAAAACCACAAGACTTACCCTGATATGGAAATCCAATGCTCTCTTTGGTGGAGGAGGGGTTTAACACCAGGGAGGAGTCTAGGAAACAGCGTCACGGTCGGAGGGGGGGAAGAAGAAGAGGAGGAGGAGGAGACCGGTGCGCCTAGGCTGCTGTCCCTCCAAATTCTTGACTTTTCCATTAAGAAGGAATCAACAAACGCAGAAAAAGCTGGGGACCCTTCTTGGATTCTGGCACCAGACCAAGTGGGAAGTGGCAGGAGGCGGAGGGAAGATCCATGATCCTCCACCAACCCTGGGGAAAAATGAGACTTTCCTTTCTTTCCCCCGAGAGATGTCACGGTTAACTCTTGACAAAGAGAAAGGCGCCAAAGGCGCCGGCACTCTGCAGCGCAGGCTCCCGGCTTGTCCTGGAAAGAACCAGCAGCGTCTCCTTCCCTCTGTCCTCAGCTGTCCTCGTTTCTTTCGTTTTCTTTTTTGCCCCTGGAGCTAGTGGGTGGAGAGGAAGGCCACGGCCTGGGCCCGAGGGTGAGGAGGGGAGCGGGGCATCCTTTCCCCTGAATGGGTGGAGGAGGGGCAAGCCCTGGGCTCGGAGGGCGCTGCCTGCCTTCCTTCCTTCCAACGCCTGCCTTTCGCAGCCGCAAAACATTGAGGAGCATCTATAATTGATAGCTCCAGCCGGCGCTCCGCCGACAAAAATAGCTGCCGGAGATACGTAGGGGTGACCTAAATCAGGCAGCAGGGAGACGGCGGAGCCAAGCTGCGGGAAGAGGCGCTCCCGGGAGAACACGGGAAAGGCAATTCGAAAGTGTTTGAGAGCGGCGGCGGCGGGGGGTGGGTGGGGAGGCGGAAGGAAAGCCTGCCAGCCCCGGATCACCTGAGAGGCAGGAGTCGCCGCTTCGACCACAGGGGAGAGAGAGCACACCCTTCTCGCGATCCCGGGCTGAGCCTGCAGGTGCGGCCCGTAGGCTTGGCTGTTGGGGTTAGGGCGGGGAGACTCCGCTGCGAAACGCCTCTTGGCTCGGAAACGACTCCCAGGGGAAAACGGCTCCCGCGTCCCCCCGGAGCCTTCTCCTGTTTTAGCTGCTTCTCTGGCACGAGGGTGCCCGGAAGCTTGGAGGTTTGGTGGTGGACACGAAATATGCCGAAGGTCCCTGATGAAAGTGAGCAAAACGTGTGTGTGTGTGTGTGAGTGAGTGAGTGAGTGAGAGAGAGAGACAGAGAGCGAGCGAGCGAGAGAGAGACAGAGAGAGCGTGTTGTGCTCATTTATCACACAGAAATCCGCCTTGCCTCTCAGCAGCTGCTGACCGGGTGATCTGGGCATCCCAATGGCTTACCAGAATCTCACCCTGCCGCGCACAGCAACCCTGCGAGGAAGGCTAGACCGCGGGAGCAGAACCTTTCTCCAGGGTCTCCTTCCCTTCCCTAAGAGGCGCTTGAACTCAAGCCCAGGCCGGTCGTGGCCGAGGGTGGGGACATTTCTTTTGTAGAGTACAACTCCCAGAATCCCCCAGCGGCGTTAAGAGGTTAGGTAGTCCCCCCCCCCCAAAAAAAGGGAACTTCCCAAAGCTGTGGCTTGGGCTGCCCTGACTCTGCCCGGAGATCTCTTCCTGTTCTTGGTCAAAGACAACTCCGTCCCCGCCCCCCCCTCCGGGGAAAGTAGTGAAATCTTGAGCGGCTCTCCGGCAAGTGCCCTCGGGGCCGGTGTGTGTGTGTGTGGGGTAGAGGGGGATGGAGGTGGGAGAAAGGCACCAGCCAGGCAGCCCCGGTGGGTCGAAGCGCTGCTGGTTCTGGACTGGTGAAGAGCGCCTGTGGTGGGCCAGGAGCGCGGGGCTCCGTGCGGGGTGCCCTGGGGATACCCACCTTCTTGGCCGGTGCAAGCAGGAGTGATGATCGGGGACATGGGCGCCAAGGGAGAAAGAGGACGCGCTCCTCGCTCTCTCTGGGCTCGACGTCCCAGGGCTTCAAACAGGATCAGGGGCGGGCGAGGGACAGAGAGAAGGGCCCAAGAGCGAGGGAAAGAGAGAGCCACAAAAGCTGAGCTCGGAAAGCGGGGTGTCCCGGGGCCTCCCCAGCTGCCTGCCTTTCCCTCCCCCTCTCCGACCCCCAGCCCGGGGCACCGGGGGACCCGCCTTGCATGGGTGGGCTAACCCCCCTCCAGGGGCTTTAGGGACCCCTCACCTCCCCCCGACCCCCGAGCCGCCGTCCCCTGAGATCCCCGACACCGAGGCGGTGCCTGACCCCTTCTCCCCCGGTAGGTTGGAGGATGAAGTGTACGACGAAGAGGGCAACACCCTGTCGGACTACGCCTTTGACGGCGAGCCCTTCGGGATAGCAGACCCTTCCTCCATGCTGGACGACGTCTACACGCTGTATTACTCGCCGGAAAAGAGGTGATCTTTTTAAGAGGGCGACAAAACCCCCAGGGCGTGCGGCGATCGCGAGGGAGGCACGTGGAGCCTCCCGGACCGAGGGTGCCGCTCAAGTCCCGGCAAGCTGGGAAAGGCCTGGGCGCTCCACGGGGTGGGGAGAGCGGCCAAGCTGGGAGGGTCTTCCGCACCGGCTTCCT